TCAAATACTAAATGGTTCTGAAAAAATGTCAACATTAGATGTCTAATTTTAAGATCCTCCTAACTCTAACCAAGCATTTGCTTAGATGTAAATCTCACTATGTTAGGGTTTGCAATAGTATTAGGCTTGCAATTACTGTGATAATTTAACATTAATTGTGTCCAGGTGATGCTTTGTATTTTAGATTTAGAATTGTATCTTTAAAATTTTTTGATGTAGAAGCTTGCTGTCCCTGGCGTTATGGCAAAGAACAAAAAGTCTGACATGGAGTCTGAGCGCAAGAAGAAAAAGAGCAGGAAAGAGAAAACTGATGAAGCAGTGGAGAGGATAGACCTTGTGGGAGCAGAGGACACTACAGCAAAGAGGAGGAGGACCAAAACTGGGCGTGGTGATGAGGTGGGTGTGATATTGATGTGGGTGTGGTGTTGCGGTGGGCGTGGCAGTGATGTGGGTGTGGTAGAGATGTGGGTGGGGTGCTGGGGTGGGCGTGGCAGTGAAACTTGGTACAGGCTTGCAGATGCTCCTGGTAGCAGCACCTGAATGTTCATTGCTTCTTTTTTAATCATGGTATCAGCGGATGACTAAATTGTTGTCTAATTGACTGCCAGCTTTCTCTTACCGTGTTCGCCCCTTTACTAAGCCTGGTGCCGATTTCACTTAGAAATGCTTAGTAGGCTGTTAGACCTGGCCATGGCCGGAGGAATGCACCTGACTTTTCCAGAGCCGTCATTGGAAATAAGAATAAGGCTTTCCATCGGAGTCCTAACTGCTGACTCCTACTGCGTCTTTAAAGCACACGACAGATGTGCCACGGTGTTGTCTTTCTCAGGAATGTCCGCTGTCCGTTGGTACAGCTGTTGAGTCCCAGCCTGAGCAGCTGAGGGGGAAGAAACCCAAAAAGCGCCAAGCCGAGGAGAAGCCTGACTCCGTGGAGGTGACGCAGTCTGGGAAAAAGGAGAAGAAACGAAAGAAAATCGGACGGGAGCAGGTAGGCCAGGCAACACAAACCTGATCAAATGGTTGATGGCTGGACTCTTTAGGTCATGGGTGGTAATTTACAGCTGCCTGCCGGTGCCACCTGTACGTGTGGAGTTTGCATGTGTTCCCTCTGTTCAAATGCTTTTCCACAAGTGGGTGGCTGGGCTCCTCGGCTCATTACGTGCCCCAGAGTGGGAGAGGCGCTCTGGTGTTGGGGCCTCAGTCCCCTCCAGCTGTTCTGGCTATGGGGCAGCACGGATGGACAGGTTGTGCTGTGGGCCGGAAGGAGATGGAAACTGTCCTGTGTGTGCCCAGGAGTGTATCTGTGCTAGTACAAAGCACACGACCCATTGATTTGTGTTTTGGTGAAAAAGATGCAGAAGATCGGCACTGACCACTGAATGCCCTGTTCTGAAAGTTATGGTTCTGAACCAGGTTCTGAAAGCTGTTACAGTAATGTTTTGGGATTATTTCACTTGGGCATCTTTCTACACAAATGCTCCTTTTCGATTTTGACATGAGATGTCATTGAAAAATGTGAAATGTTCTAAGCATTGTTGCAGCTGATGGGATATTAGCTTATAATATTTTCTTTACAGGAAAATCAAAAATCTCAACTTTCAAAGTTTGCATGTAGTTCAGTGTACAAAGTGTCCAAGTAGCAGTCCTGACGTGCAAGCTTTACACACTAGGTGGTGCTGTATGCTTAAGGTAAAGGCAGAGGAACAGGACAGGAACCTTGCAGCTCAAGATGTGGGTCATATTCATCCTCACATCAGGACATTCACAGGAATCGGGCCTGGTTTTTAAATCTGGGATATGACATAACAGTCAATCTGTTACCGATACTAATAATATCGGTGTCATATATGTAATCAAGCAGCAAATCATTACGTGCTAGCATTTAATCATTATTTATAAATTGGGTTAAACTTAAAAGAAAATAATTTTACAAATCTGCTTGCTACCTTTCAGTGGGCTCTGGCATGCTGTGTATGGAGTGGAAATGAGGGTGTTGTGGTCGCGGATGCGTTGAAGAGAAACTGCGCCCAACTTGCAGATAACCTGGGCCCCCTTTTTGAGCAGTAAGAGAGAGATAAGATCACTTCATCAGCCATATACAATTTCTTGCATTAGGAATTCGTCTTTTCTCATACCCCAGCTTGCTCTCCATGAGACGCAGACACACAGACAGGGAGAGAAGCT